CTGGCAGGTTATTGGCTAGAAAGTTACGGTATCCTTTTCCTGACAACTTTGAGAGTAACTTGAAAGTGCCAATTACCTGATCGTCAAGAATACCCGCCCAAATATTTATTTTAAAACGTTGTTAGAAATGGCCTCCACGACTGGTATGAGCGTTTTCTTGGGCCCACGTGAGAATACTATGGAAATTTAATATCCCGTCTCGCGTCCGTCGCTAGAATGTTTTTAATAAAATCCGGGTTTTCAATGTTTTTGTGCAAAAACCACTGACATAACATTAGTCTGCGAGGGTAGTGTTCTGGTAACAAGGTCTGCACTCGTTGTACATGGTAATGATAAAGCAAATTTTCACATAGGATGCTATGGACTATGGCATGCGATAGTCCTACGCGGCGGCCTAATTCCCGAGTGCTGGTAGCTGCATTGATTTCCACGATATTTTAAATTTGCTCTACAGTAACCTGTCTGTAACCTGCACGATTTGAATTCGAGCTTCACCGTAAACTAACAACATGTCGACGAACTCTTGATTCCAGAACATTGTAAATAAATACGAAGACGTACGCGAACAAAAACAAAACAACACGCCCGATGCTCTGCGCGACAAAAAGGATAAAGGAATTTATCTATACAAAACGATAACTAACCACTGTTACCGTTTGCTATCGATTGCCGGTTCGATAAGGGTGATGAAATACCGACGCGCTGTTGTCATGTGTGTTTTAAATATTTATTTTAATGAAACATACTTACTTACTGACTACAAATTTTGGCTTAACTTAGAAAAAGTTAATGCCATGTATTTGTTAATTACTCAATTTAAAAAGTTTTTAATTAGATTATAAAAATTAGTAAGATTATGGTGATTGTGGTCGATATGAGTCACTTAAAGTCGTAAACGATAAAGCCATTTGGACAAAAATCTATTGACTCTTGAACCATGGGTCATATGAACTTTTTGACTTGCTTTGACCCCCCCTATTACCCATTTCAATAATGACTAGCATAACGTTTACACCCTGTGTATTTGATATCTTGTGGTAGCAGAAATGTCCCACAATAAACAGGAATTTAAACATAGGGTTGTCCAATAGGGACGCAGGAAAGTAAACGTCAATTTGACATAGACACCATCTTTGTTTTCTGTCACCGACATGTCATTTTGTTAGTTGAATGTTTACCATTGATCGCTATGGAGTCGTATTCGATTGAATGCTGCATTAAAGTGATTCAAGAGCACTACAAAAATGGTGCAAAAATAAAAAAACGCGTTTCGCGCGCTTCGTGAACATTTCGGTCGCAACAACCGCCCAAACGAAACAACCATCGGTCGTCTGGTGCGTAAATTCGAGGCAACAGGTTCTGTGGCAAATCTGCCAGGCTCTGGCCGGCCAAGGAGCGTTCGCACACCGGAAAATATTGCTGTTGTGAAGGAGAATGTGAGAGACGATCCGAAACAATCAACAACGCGTCGATCCCAAGAATTGGGCATTTCGAGAACCAGTTTGCTCCGCATTCTTCACAAGGATTTGAATGTACACGCCTACAAGATCCAATTGACGCAAGAGCTGCGTCGGGCCGACCATTTAAGACGGTGCAACATGCCACACAACCAACGTCAATATCCATAGATTGCAGTCCTTCTTTGGTGATCGCGTGATTTCGCGCAGAGGAAATGTGCCATGGCCACCAAGATCGTGCGATTTGACTCCCTTGGACTTCTTTTTATGGGGATATTTGAAAAGAAAAGTCTACGTCAACAAACCAGCCACCCTCCAAGAACTCAAAAACAACATCATTGCCGAGATAAATGCCATAGAACCGACCATGTTGCAAAATGTCATTGAAAATGTCGACCATCGCGTGGAAGTCTGTAAATCCAGTCGTGGTGAACATTTGAGCGATATTATTTTTCATACATAAATGGTATAAATGAACCTTCAAAATAAAGTACCCAACTTGATTTGAATATCAATCTTTCTTGTTTTAATATGCGTTTACTTTCCTGCGTCCGTTGTCCATATATACATATACGGTTTGATTCGGCCATGCAATCCGGCCATGAGTACTGTGCTCTTTCTTTACAACCATGTTTCTTATATTGTCTGTTGCTTTTATAAATGGTTAAACATTCACATTTATGTGCCTTTGTGATATCACAATTAACAAAGTAGTGTTGTAAGTTTTTGGCAAAAGAACTGTTCAGCCGTGAAAGCTTGTTGCAGCGTTATAGAATACCTTACACTTACAGGACAAATTTTGAACTGTACATACATCAGCTGATCAGCAAGAGACATTTTTGTGTTAGTCTGCAACGTTGGCAATAATGGATCGAGTATAACTCTAGTAAAATTTGCTTGTGACGTTTTGTTTTTTGTATGCAAATCAAGTTTCCTAAATGAAAGAGCTGCTCGCAAGTTCAAAATCAATCTGTAGCGTACAAAAAACAAAAACAGAGTTCGGCTCTGTGTACATGGCGTAGACGGATCCGTCAGAGTTATGTGTCCTGTGCCGATATGGGGAATTTTGAGGTGTTACTAGATAATCAGCTGTCATTCTGCCGTGATGGATACTCATGAAATAGGGTGTAGGTTGAATGCCATAACTAATAATTCAAGACAAGCGACTCATGAATATTCGCTTTGAAGCTTTCATTAGTTTTTCAAACAGGCTATCGATCTGATACAAACTCTGAGTAAAGCATTCGACTCTGTCCGTATTTCATTTAAGAGATTTGTATTGCTGTATAAAACCTGCAGATAACACGAAAATGCTTTAATAAACCAACGACAATATGGACGATGCCTTGATTATACATAACCACCCGCGATATCGGGTAATAAATATAATTATTCATCTATTGAGTTTCAGTCCGACATTAGAGATACAAAATGATAAACATTACTGTAATTATGTCTAAATACAGGATTTGTCGAAGGTTCAACACATACAAGTTCAGATTTTTATCTTAAAACTCTAAACATTTTTTTTATCATCATTACAATATAAATCAAATCCAAAGCCCGTAGTAATTGCTTCCCTACTTTGTAGGATAATCACAATAATATTCGCTGCGCATGTTATCCAATAGCCCTCACTGAAGAAGCTTATCATATACCTGCGTATGGAATTTAGAGTGGACGATGTGAAAGTGAATAAGCTGACTGTAATGCATTATACAGGGTGTTTCAGTTTATTGTTGCATAACTTTAAGATTCGATAGAACTTTCAAAATTAATGCATAAAGTCTATATAAGCATGGGTAGAGAAATGCGTGGCTTCCGAAATACAGGGTGTTTAAATTTACATTCTAAAATAGTTTTTATTAAATATTTCGAACAATATTTGATGTATAACAGTGAAAATTGGTATACAAGGGTTTTTTAGTACGACAAAACGAACCATGGGCATAGTTTTACTCTAGCCGCTAGACGGCGCTCTCTACTGTACCTGTAGTGTATTAAAATGACCGACATTTTTTTCTTAGTGCAATTTTTTGAATTTTGAATAAAAAAACTGATTCTTCGCACTTTTCAACGTAAAACAGCTCTCTTGTGAATTTTCGTTATAGTTAGCCGTTTTTGAGATATTTCGATTTTTTAAGGTTCGATGCATTTTTAATTATTTATGATAAAATAACGTTAAAAAGTCAGTATCTCGATAATTTTTAGAAGTAGGGTGTGCCTGCGAATATTTTTGAAATTGAAAGCTGAATAAGGTTAAACGTCAATTAGTTGACAGTTAGTTTTGTTGTCTGTTGAAACCTGAAACGTTTTTTTGCAATTGTGAATGCACGAAATTTAGTTTCTTTTACCTGTTTTTTTGTAAGTTTTATAAAAATGCCGTTTTTATTCTCCGATCAAGAGTTAGCGGATATTCATTTTGTGTATGGCTTTGTAAATGGAAACGCAGCAGAAGCAGCCAGAGAATACGCACGAAGATCTCCAAACAGACGATATCCAACTCGCTCAGTATTTGTAAGAGTGCATCGTCAAATAATTGAAAATGGTTTTTGAAATCTCCAAAGGGATCAAAACATAAATGTTCGTCAGCGCAGATTCACCCATATGATTCTGCGTGAGTTTGATAGAGATCCGACCACAAGTGTTAGGAGAGTTTCTGGTGCCTTGGGAATTTCAGCAAGCCATGTTCACCGTGTTCTTAGAAATGACCATAGACGTCCTTACCATTTGCAACCTGTGCAAGGACTACAGCCAGGGGCCGGAGAACGAAGAATCACATTTTGTCAGTGGATTCTTGATAGAACTGATAATAATAGGGAGTTTTTAAGTAACGTTTTATGGACCGATGAGTCATGCTTCACTTGACGTGGAGTGGTAAATATTCATAATCAACATATTTGGTCGCATGAAAATCCGCATGCAGTTCGGGAAAGAAATTTTTAGCATGAATTTACTGTGAACGTGTGGATTGGTATAGTCGAAATCACGAAAGATGACGATTACGTCATACCATAAATTGTAACGAAATAATTACCAGACGTACGTCGAGGATAAGGTTACGATGTCAGGAACATGTGATCGAAGTTAGCTGATTTCAGTGATTATTTTTATTTATTCTATTTCATGATTTTAAATCATCATTATCCGTGCACAAATTTACATTTTAAGACTTCTATTTGCAATAAAATTACATATTTATTATAAAAAAAACAGCATTTCCTCTGTTCACAATAATAGTACGTATTTTGAACCTATTTTTCATCTAAGATTGTTGAGTCCCTAGAGTTCTTACCAAAATCATAATAATACATTGGTATCAGCTCCATTAAAACGACCAATTGATTCTGAGAACATGGTTTTATTTTATAAAAAAAAATAAAACACAAATAAGCATACCAAAGTGAAAATATTTTTGTACCATTTCATGTCATGCCATCCACTATTCATTTTAGCATAAGCTACAAAATTATATAAAACATATATCAAATAAAATAAACTGTACATTTCAATATGTTATTCCATTACTTATGGTCAAATTCAGATGAAAAATTAATCGCTACTTTCAGATTCAGTATCGCTATCTGAATCAAATGAGATTATCAGTGGTTCTATTTCACGAGTAATAGTTTTGTTGTACCACTAAATTATGCCTGACTGCATCAGATAAATCTGTTGTCTTAGACTTTTTTCTGGATCTCTTCTTTCCAGGTGATCTTAGGACATTATCATTAGATGATAAACGGCGCTGTATTCTGGTAATAGTGGACAAACTGATACTTAGTGCCTGAGCCACCCTCTGAAAAATAATATAGAATAAATTGTCAATCATATGACCATATTTCTAACTATTACAAACCTCTTGGACAGCTAACAATCCTTTTCTTGTTGAAAATAATTCAGCAAGGATAGTACCAAGCCCTGTGATTGAGAGCTAAGAGTTTTGCCTTTCATAGCGAAAACTAGAATTAAAGTCTTAAATGATGCTTTTATGTTGGAAATTATTTAGTTTCTACCTTAATAATAATTTTTATGAGGAGTTTTTGTTTTGAAAAAAACAGTTATACACACAACAGAATACACCTCAAGACAGGAACACCAACGACCAAAGTATTGTTCGAAAACAACCTAACCTGCAACGAACTGTCAACACGCTGACATGACATAACCTCACTTGTCATCTTTCAAATGTGATCGATCATGAAACATGCAAAAATCGTCTGTCTTTATCGGATACATGCAAAAAAATATTCACAAATGGCTGTCGTTTGTCTTTACTACAGAATAGAATGATGACGTAATCGATTATTTGGACCCTACCTTTTACCTGCAAGGTTAAATGCTGCGACCTTCTTGGAATTTTTAAAGGCTGAACATGCAAATATGTGGGATGCTGTTATGTTAGATTTAAGAAGATTGGCCTGGTTCTAGCTTGATGGTTGTCCAGCTCATTATTCGAGAATAGTTAGAAACTGGCTGGACGAAAATTATCCAGAAAGATGGATGGGCCGTGGAGGACCAGTCGCCTGGCCTCCACGATCCCCTTAAGTAAATCCATTAGATTTCACTGTGTGGGGATTTCTAAAAGAAAAAGTGTACCAGACTCTCGTAACCACAAGAGATATGCTAATACACAGAATCAGGAATGCATGTTCGACCATTCGTAGATGTGAATTGTAAAATGAACAACTGGGTTTACATTTCGAGCAACTACTTTATATTTTGTATGTTTGTCCTAACTATCCAATAGCATTTTAGTTGTAAATAATTAATTTAATTTGTTAAAAATAATATTGGAAAATTAAACAAATTAGTATTCTGTTTTTTTGTGTTTATTTGGAGTAAGGAATTATTGCTGTGTTTAAAAACACAATCTAAACGATCATCTTAATTACTTGTAATGCCCAAATCGAAAATGTAAATAATTAAATAAATAATTAAAAATGCATCGAACCTTAAAAATCGAAATATCTCAAAAACGGCTAACTATAACGAAAACTCACGAGAGAGCTTTTTTCTGTTGAAAAGTGCGAGGAATCAGTTTTTTCATTCAAAAAGCAAAAAATTGCACTAGGAAAAAATTGTCGGGCTTTTTAATACACTACAGGTACAGTAGAGAGCGCCCTCTAGCGGCTACAGTAAACCTATGCCCATGGTTCGTTTTTTCGTGCCAAAAAACCCTTGTATACCAGTTTTCACTGTTATACATCAAATATTGTTCGAAATATTTAAAAAAAACTATTTTAGAAAGTAAATTTAAACACCCTGTATTTCTGAAGCCACGCATTTTTCGACCCATGTTTATATAGACTTTATGCATTAATTTCAAAAGTTCTATCGAACCTTAAAGTTATGCAACAATAAACTGAAACACCCTGAATATTCTTCATTTATCCTACTTAATATATACGAAATACAAGACGGGTGTATAGTTGACAAAACTTGAAACTTGCACTGAAGCAAATGTTTTTTAGTGGTTGTAAGAGGTTTATACTATTATTGTATATCTGCTACTTGCAGCCCTTATACAACCTCTTCAATGACTGAAGTGTCCTATTAGGTGTGCCCATTCCGCTTGTATAGCTGTACTAAGAGCGTTCTGCCAATGCTTTTGCAACATACAATGCTGTATAAGGAATACTATGTAATAGTTCTTGCGACACTAATAGCAGTGACATTTGTTATTTGGTATATCCCATCATGAAGAAGTAGTAAATTTGCTTTTTTGGAGCTACTTCGGAACTGTCAGGCTAATTATACGATGGGGTCTCTCAGTCCGCACCTGAAGAGCATCTAAAGATGTTGAACATAATCGCTTCATCCACTACTTCATTTAAATAAATCAGGTAGTCCTTACATCGTTGCCTGTCTCATAAAAGCCGCTAACCCAGTGCTGCTAGACGGTACATTTATCACTAATTCTATTATGCTTCACCATTTTGGGCGTTACGTGGAGCGAGAGCATTATATTATAACACGAATCGCGAAAGAATTAATTTCCGTTTTAAATCTGTTCCTTCCACCTCTCTGGTAGTAGAACGCTTTTTTGTTGAAACGGACTTATGCGGGAAAATTACTTTTACCCGTTATCAGTTGTCCCACGTACGATGGGCTTGAATCACCACAAAAAATGTTTTTTTGTGTCGTTATGAATTTAGGAGCAGAACGCGACACATTTATATGCTCGTTTCTACAAATGCCGAAAAACGACCACCAGTTAGATGGTTCAAAGTAACAAATGACTCCCATTTATTATCTGCTGACTTTAGCTTCGGGGTCCGTCTCACTTTAGGCTTGCCAGATACGTGAATAACCTGTCAGTTCGATTCTGAAGTGTTGAGACGGTATTTACTCAGAATGGAATTATTCAGTTAATAACTTAAATTTTATTTTAATTTTATTTTGAAGTTATTAATTATGATTGATTGTTGGACCAGCTACTACTGTAATATAAACTCTTTGTAATTAAAAATTGTTTTCCACTTTTTAGTTTGGTTTGCTATAAAAGCGAGCTTTTTTATAATTTTTTATACTATCATTTATTTTTCATTTTTTAGTTCGGTTTATCGAATTGGTTTTTTGTGGACATGTGGTATTGAAATGTCTTACGAGTCATTTCGTAATCTAATCACTTCATTTGAGGCTTCACTGTTGGAAGGAGTTTTTCCTGTTAACTTAGAGCAATCACGTTCTCCAATCCGAATACCGTCTAAAGATCTTACACGACATAGGGTGGATTTCACCAGGATTGTCAAATCAGTCCGTTATTCTCCTCCTATAGGGTAACAGTCCGTCAAATACAGAGAATGAGCTTCAAGTTCCAATCAACAGATTTTAGCAACCAATAGCTACGAAATGTTGCAAACAAAATACAGTCAAAGTACAAGATGACAACCTATCTTTGAAACATCACCAGCTTACTGAATATTAAGAAATTACATATAATTTGGTCAAAATTTAAAAAAGTGTTCTATTTTAGAATAAAATTCATGATCTTTTTAATATTGTCGATTGCTTATTCATGTTTGTATTACTTTCTTCAATTAATATACGATTTTACTGATTCAACATCACCTACCGTGTGTTTTTTCCTATAAACCTCTTGCAGATAGCCATTAAGCACCCACTTGATGACAGGCTCTAACAAAAATTTTACAGATATTGCTCGTTTCCAAACATTCATTCATTCATATTTTTTGGTTGTTCAGGAACTGAACAAACATCCACACTATATTTACAGCGATTAAGAAATACTCAAATATATGTCGTAAAGCTACCCGCAAACTTAAAACCTGCAAAAGAAATAGAATTTGCAATAACTTTCTTGTTTCACTGAGTACACATTCTAGGTTATATACTACGTGACATATAAATCCGAACACCCAGTTTAAATGGTTTTATTTAAAGCCCTTTGACCTTTAATAATGTGTGGATGCACCCTGATGTGCTACGCATTCTCCAACGCGCCTAGGCATGCTTCTGATCAGGTGGTCAATGTCCTCCTGTGGTTTCTCATTCCTGTCAACCACCAACTCCTCTCGAAGTGCTTCTAGAGTCTGAGGAGGACGTTGCAAATTGAGCAATCTCCTACCGATGGGTAGGATATGATATGATGCATATCCCACACGTGCTCAATTGGGGATAAGTCGGGAGATCTTGGTGGCCATGGTAACAATGTGACATCATTATGCTGAAAGAAGTCTATTGTGACTCTTGCAACATGTGGTCGGGCATTATCTTGTTGGAAAGTTGGATCTGCCAGGGTGTCAAGATAGGGTAAAAGATGGGGTTCTAGATCTTCGTGGATATAACGCTGCGCGTTCGTGTTACCTCTGATGAAGATTAAAGGTGACCTGGAACCATAAGCTATAGCACCCCAAACCATAACTCCAACAGTGTGATGAACATGTCTCTCAACAAAAAACTGTGGATTCCTCCTTTCACCACGTCGCCTTCTAACCCTGGCACGGCCATCGTGTATGCCTAAACAAAATCGAGACTCGTCACTAAAGACAATACTGTTCCATTCCTGATCCCGGAGTGACCGTCGTCTGCACCACTAAAGGCGATTGTGTCGGTGTTCTCGAGTTAAAGGGAGGACCCAGTGTGGCCGGTATGAAAACAAGCCAAAACTTGTCATTCGTCGGTAAACACTTGGCATGCCAATAGGTCTTCCGTGTTCTGCAAACCATTCATTTGCAGTGGACCTGGTAGTGGAGAAACGGTCCATTAAGGCCAATAATCTTAGGCGTCCAGTGCCCCTTGCTCTTTGCATACGGCCTTCTCGAAGCCATGCCTGACAACACCTAACCACTTCTTTGCACTCTAACTGCAATTGCCCGAAAAGAAAGTCCAGCTTCCCGAAGTCCCACTATACGGCTCCTATCAAACTCACTAAGTTGACGAAATCGTACAGGTCTCCGTACTCTAGGCATCGTAACCGATCGTAAAGGATGTCAAGAACCAAAATCCGCCAACGTTGATTCTTCACTGCGGCTGAAATAAGTATTCATTTTTAGAGCGTAAGTGAATTAAAAAAAAGCAGTATAAAAACCGGAATGTCCAACTGATAAGGCTGAAAATTTTTTCACTTGTTATTTACAGTAAGATAAATACATTCACCAACTGTTATTAAAATAAAACCATTTAAACTGGGTGTTCGGATTTATATGTCACTTAGTATATTTATATTAGACATCATTTGAATAACAGCTGATTATTACATTTCAAAACCCCCCAGTGACACATGTGTGAGATCCGTCAATCCTTGATCCCAGTGGAGTAAGCTCCGCCAAGTGT